CGGCGCCGCCAGCATCCCCCTGCTGCATCAGGGGACAGGGTCCCTCCCTCAGGGGGCCCAGCCTGCGCCGGTGGCTCCCTTTCCCCTAAACTGCTCTGTGGTTATTTGCACAGATCAGCATCATGTTAGGATGCCACCAGACACCCGTGCCTGCCCTTCTCTCCCAAAGGCCTCATTTCTTACTTATCTCCCAATTACAACGTGGCACAGCTGGAAAGACCTGAATTCCTAACGCCCAAACCAGGCAGAACCCATCTGGCTGTGGGCAGGGCAGGGAGCTGTTGCCTTTCCCCTTTCTGGGTCCATCTCTTCACTGAAAACAAACACAGAGAGGCAAGAGGGAAGCCTCCACCCTGCAGGGGACATTTTGTAAGCCCTGGTGCTGCCCACAGGAGAGCCAGCCTGTCCCCAGGGTGGGGACCTTGCCTGGGCATGTCCCCTAACAGAGACTGGGGACAGGACCGCTGCAGCCGAGCAGGGAGGCCGAGGGGCTGGAAGGAGGATGGGACAGGCTGTGCAGCCCACAGAGCTCCTGCTTATGGGGTACGCAGGGTGCTGAGGGGCAGGCTGAGCCGGGGTGGGGGGGTCCAGGGCCTCTTGCCACTGACCGAAACTGAGCCCCGATCCCATGTCCTGCAGTCGGCCTCCCCCCATGCAAGGTGACCAGCCTGATTAGAAACACGTCAACTGGAGCAGCGAGCTGATTACGGTGTGAGCACGCATGCCGCTGTAATCCCATTAGCATTACAAATCCTAAATATAGCAGCACAAATCTATCTTGTCTGCTTCCCCAGTCCCAGCGGGATGCTTGCCGTGGGGACCGCTCCTTACACACAGCGTCTCAGAGCAGCTCAGGAGATGTCTTGCCTCCGCCAGGGAAGATTCCCGTGTGCAGGGAGAAGCCCAGCTCTGCTCCTTGCCCCCGTCAGCGACTGGGGCAGCCCAGCGCGGGCTGCGGGAATGCTCTGCTCTGGCCCTGGGAGGTACACAGCGCGGGGAGAGCACAGGGCAGAGCAGGGCTGAGCCCCGGGGCATGAAAAGTGGATCTAAAGCATAGTGCTTCATGGGGTTACACAGGCGGATGGGACCAGGCTGAGATCAAGAGCCACTCGCTGAGCACAGCTCTTCGCTGGCTTCTTGGGCAGCGTC